CTCGTAAGAAGCGGGTGTGTTTCTTTGGTCGGTTGGTACAAACACCGGGTCAGTCTTCGGGTCTATCTAAGAAATATCTAGCATATAGAAGTTTTCTTTTAGGAGCTACGAACAGCTATGCAATGTACATCTCTACAAATTAAGTATCTCGCGCTATGCACCCCTTCGACTCACTTTTCATTTTATGTACAGTTACGCGCTAGTATTTTCCTATTGGCGAATAAATGCTAGTGTTAGTACTTTTACAGAACAGCTCGTGTAATTAAATCGTATAAAATCATTCGTCCATAGACAGGATCGTGTTATTTTCTTTTCGAAACATCTTACGTTTAAGAAGAATTTTAGCTACACACGTCCAGCGTGTAATTATGCAGAAATCCTTTCTCTTTCTCTTATTATTTTATATTATTAACTCGTGTTTTGAATTGGATTTTTTTTTCTTCTTCTTCTGTTAGTATCAACTCGAATTTAAAATTTTCTCGAACCATCAATTTGATTTCGACTGTCCCTTCTATGACAAATTCGTTGAATTAACAAGTTCGTCAGCATCCGAATAAAAATTCTGATGAAATACACGATCGGAACGACTTGCTTTACGTAATAGCTAACGTTAACTAATATCAATGAAACATTTAAATGGATTTAAATAAACGTTCAAGGATATTAGTTAAAGAGGCATTCTCACGCAAAACGGAAATTGCATTTGCCGCGTGAACGTTGTTACACCCTAAACATATCCGAGGTTTAACTTATATATCGATCTCGAGCCGATTAACGTAATTACATCTACATACGTAATTAGATCTACATTCTCCGAGCAAGAAAGTTAAGTGATATGTGAATAAAGTACAACAGATCCAACGATCAACCAATTTCGGATAATAAACTGCCACTCAGTAGATATTCTACGATACGACGAAACTGTCTGAATTGTAAGTTCTTAAACAATTACCATTTTCTTAAGTATATCGACTGTACATTTATTTTCCTTAAAGTTTTACGGAAATTCGGCAGTACTTGGCATTTCCGACATTTTTCAATGTTTTTTACATGCCTTCGCTTATGGTTCGCTCGACCGCGACGAGTTCTGACTTTACTACCGAGTTCACGATTTCTCGTTGTAACCTCTGCCCGAAATGATCTTCCAAATCTCCGACGGTCGAACGCACCAGATCTTAGCTCTCACTTGCACGACCTGTTCCCGTTCATCGTTCAACATTACCCTCGAACTGTCAATGTTCGAGCATTCATGCAGGAAATCGTTGTTCGTTCGATTGGAGGACGTATCACAATAGCACGACTCGTTGTTACAATTATTATCAACGTGCTATGCGCAAGGCGCGTCTAGTTGGTGTCAGTGAACGAACTGATGATGCGCTTCGTAATGATGTTGATAGTGAATCAAGTCCTGCACAGAGCTCGGACTATATTGCTGCGAGTCCACGATCACGCTGGTGTAACTGGCTGGCGTTGGTTCTTGATGATGATACGAATGCTTCGCGGGATTGTTGTTAGTGTTGTAGTTGCTCAAATGGGGCTGGTATGACGACTCATAATGTTGAACGTTGTTCGAAGCACTGGCACTGGTACTTGCTGTGGCATTGTGAGTTTCGGTGTTCAGGCCACAACTGGGATACATTATCACGCCGCCGACTTCGTTTAAGTTGGATGACGCCGAGTCAGGCATATAATGATGATAGTAAGGATAACTGTGGGGTACGGAGTACACGCTCAGAGCACTCGGCAAATGAGTATCCATGGCATCTGTGCTGCAACAGGAACTCGACGAGGTGGAGTAAGGTCTGTTCTGTTGGTTACTTTGAGGACTATGTTGTTGTTGTTGCTGCTGTTGCTGCTGCTGCTGCTGCGGCGGCGGCGGCGGTGGTTGCTGTTGTTGAGGCTGTGGCTGTGGTTGTGGCAAGCTTGTCGGAGGTGTCGAATGATCTAGCAGATGAGGGGAATGCTGATGTTTCTGCTGAGCATTTTGGGGACTGTGTTGCTGTAGATTCGATGGGGAGTTAGCATGATGCATGGGATGAGCATGCTGTGCTTCTTGTTGTTGCGGCACGGAAGCTAATGGGTCTTGGTGCATGTCTGAAAGAAACATTTATCGGTTTCAATTCGAAAGTGATTCTTGACGATTCGTCGGGGATCCGGTGTATATTTCAACAGATACGCGCGTATCTATATTACCTCCATATTGGTAAAACCAGTCGGAGTTGTATTTTAGATTCTCCTCGTGGGAACTGCCGTTTACGTTTTGCGGCTGGTAAGATGGTGACAGATAATGATTGTGATTCGTCAGATCGACGTACTCTGGTCTAGGATAAGTGGCACCGTTCGCGTAATCGTTATCAGGCGAGTCCTTCGATCTGGTCCGATACGCCGGTGAACTGGGACTGTGATTGTCCAATTCGTTGACGCTGCCGCTGGTGGTCGGTGTCGACAGCGGGGTGCTGGGCGGGTTGCTTGGGTTCGAGCAGTAGGACTTTTGCTCGCAATTCAGCAGCAGGTCCGTGTTCTCTGGTTTCGTCAACACGTAGTTAACCGATACGATACAATGCGGTCGGGAGCTTCGGGAGTTGTGCACAATTGTGACGTACGATTGCATCCAGACCCAGCCTCCCGATTTCGTCAGAAATCTATAGTACTTGGTTATCACTTGTCCCTTGTAAAGTACTGTGAACACAACGAATAATACAATCATTTGGAACATCATTTTAAGAATCATTCTGTTGGAATCTTACGCTGTATTTAGCGAATAGCCAACCGATAATCCAACCGAGAGAAGAATCATTTTTTCCAACTCGAACGTTTTAGAAGGGGCTTTTCCGTGACACGACAAAAGAAAATTTTCAAGCGTCACGTCGATCGTACAATCCGCAGGCGCAGACATTAGTGGCATTATGTCAGGCTCCCTTCGAGTTGCGCTCGTGAAACTGCGAGTCTGTTCAAACAGTGATAGCAGTAACAGCCTCCTCCTCCTCCTCCTCCTCCTCC